TTCCGAAACAATTGCCTTGAAAACTGCAAGGACTCGTCCAAGCAGTCACTGCAGGGTCAGCAATGACTGAGCGCAGACCAAAAAAACAAAAACAAAAACGAATGCCTTATCCTGATATTTATTTTGTGGTAACTATTTCATTCCTATTTAATCCAATTGCACTGCTTCTATTCAAAGTACCATTCTATACAGGCTTGCCAGAGAATAAATTTGACTGGATACAGTAGCATTTACCTCTGTATATTTATTGTTGCACTGTCAATGTTAAGTAATTATTTCTAATTTGCATTGTTACAATGCTGGGTGTATAATGTCTAGATCAACTGAATCTATATAAAATGAATGAATGAATGAATGAATGAATGAATGAATGAATGAATGAATGAATGAATGAATAAAATAAAGGGTTTCCATCTGTGGTCAGTATTCAGATGGCAGCCTACCAATGCATGTGTGCCTTTGAGTCAGTGTGGACTCCTGGTGACTGCTTAGACAAGTCCCTGCAGTTTTCTTGGCAAGATTTCAGAAGTGGCTTGCCCTTGCCTGCTTCCCAGGGCTGAGAGAGAGGGACTGGCCCAAGGTCACCCAGCTGGCTTTGTGCCAAAGACTAGAACTCATCATCTCCCGGTTTCTAGCCTGGTGCCTTCACCATTATTCAAATACTAGGAACCTTCATTACTGTATTGGGTGAAGGGGGTAATCACCATGTCTTCCTCGGAACATTTTTCCATCTAAAGAATCCAAGATATTGTAATTTTAGGGAAAAAAAAACCCAATAAAAATCAATGAGGTCTACCAAAATCACAGGATAGTAAGCAAAATAGTAGTAATAAAAACAAGGCGAGGGGGGGGGATGTGCATGCTGGGCCCATTCTGTTTGTTTCCTTGCTTACATTGTGCCAAACTCCCAGTCTGCTTTGAATCAAGTTCGACTCCTAGAGACTCCACGGACGCCACATGCCTTCATTTTCTTAGCAATGCTACGTCAGCGGTTGGCCGCGCCCTTCTTCCAGCCCAGTCCTGGTATTCCCCGGAGATTCCTCGTGTTCGTCGCTGCCCTCAGCTCCCGACAGCAGGCACGGTTGGCTAGATACCGCCATCTGCCGACTCTGAGCGAGCACGGTCAGTCAGCTGCGGTTACACGGGCGCGCCCCTCCCGCCAGCGCTGTGTGAGAATCAGGCGCGCCAGGCCATCCGGGGCAACGTTGCTAGGGCAGGCACGAAGGAGAAGGGGCTGAGCCGGATGGAACACGAGTAGCATCCCCAAGATAGGAAAAGTTGGAGTTCGGGGCCGTTTCCGGTCTGAAATCGACGGAGCGTCCCTTTCTAGTTCCAGGGTCAGCACAGAGGAGCCTCGCCAGACGAAACGAGGCCCCGCCCACCTCGCTTCCTTTTCGAACGTTCGGAGGCGGCGCGCGGAGCTGAGCGCTGCCGACCCCGCCCTGCTACGTAGTCTCGAGTGGCACCACCGGGGCTGTCCCCCGGGCCGATACGGCCGTCGCGATCACGTGAGGGCGTAAGGCGCGGGCCGCGATTGGCTGGCGCTCGGGCGCCGCCGCAGCACTGCCTGGTGGAGAGGGGGCGCATCCTCCGGTCTTCCGGCTCCGGCTCCGGCTCCTGGGCTCGCCCCACTGAGGCGGCGGCGGAGCGAGAATGAGGCGGCGCTGATGTGGAAGTCGCTGCGGCCCCCCTCAGACCCGCTCTGGGCCCGCCCCGGCG